TGAACTCTATGGTTCTGGTAGTCACCACCAATCTGATCTTGTCTTGTCTTGTGAACACTGCTTTCAAAATCATCTTTCTTCTGCTTGTCCCTTGATTGAACCACCCCCTCCGAGCAGGGCTAAGGAGGTTAATCTAGCGCAATACGCGAATAAAGGGGAAGGACCTTGGGCCCAGAACAATCAGGAGCATTGGCGGGAGAGAAATAGTTTTCCAAGAAACAATCGTCCCAGGGATGACTATAAACAAGGTAACTGGAATAACAATAAAAACAACTACCAAAATACCAATGCACCCTACGTCCCACCTCATAATCGCCAACCTCCGCAAGAAGATTCCTTGGCAAGGATGGAGAAGATGATGATGGAGTACATGCAGAAGATGAACAATCTAGCAGATGATATGAAGGAACGTGACAAGACACGAGATAGTCAACTCCAACAAGTGTTTAAACAACTTGGAGTTAGAGAACAGGGGAACCTCCCAGCTACCACTGAACCAAACCCACGGGAGCAACTTCGGGCAATAACTTTGAGAAGTGGTAAAGAGCTTCAAGACCCAGAAGTCGAAGTCAATATAGATGAAGTACCCGTGGATACCCCTATAGGAACAACCCCACAAAAGCAAAATGAATCCACGCCCCAAGGAGCAGGAAAGGAAGAAACCTCTTCTGGCCAAACCCTACCAACCAACCAAGCTCAGCTAAACACTATCCCTTTTCCTACTAGGGTGAAAAAGAACAAAGATGAAAAGGCTTTCCAAAAGTTTCTCGATGTCATTGGCCAAGTTGAGGTCAAAATGCCTTTGGTAGATGTGTTAACTGAAATGCCCAAATACGGTAAGTTCTTAAAGGACCTCGTAACTAAGAAGAGGGACTGGGAGGAATTCCCAGTTGTCAGCTTAAATGCTGAATGCTCTGCTATGTTACTTGAGGAAATGCCTAGAAAACGAAAGGATCCTGGATGTTTCATCATCCCTTGCTCCATCAACGATAGAACCTTTGGAGACGCTCTAGCTAACCTAGGAGCTAGCATTAATTTAATGTCGTCCTCTATCATGAAAGCACTGGGATTGACTGGACTTAAACCCACTCAAATGTGTCTTCAATTGGCGGATAGCTCTATTCGTTACCCCAAGGGGTGATTGAAGACGTGCTCGTGAAGGTAAATAAGTTCATCTTTCCTGCTGATTTTGTGGTGTTGGATATGGAAGAAGATAAGGAAAAGCCGCTACTACTAGGGCGACCATTCCTTGCGACCGCAAAGGCATTAATTAATGTGCACGATGGGGAATTAACTCTAAGAGTAGGCAATGAAGACGTCGCTTTTAAAATGATGAGCGTCATGAATCGGACTCCAGACCCAGCTGAGTTCTGCAACTCAGTAAAAGTCATAAAAGATAAAGGGTCTGTAGAAGATCTGCTAAGCCTAGAAATTGCTTTTCAAGAACCTAAGTGTGAGGAGGTGTGCGACATCAAGACGCGATCTGAATCCACAAACGAAGCCACATCCTTAGAATTTAAACCCTTACCAGCACACCTCGAATATGCTTTCCTCGATAGTGAGGGTCAGTGCCCTGTTGTCATAGCCTCCGATCTAACACCTAATCGGAAGGAAAAATTACTAGCTGTCCTCCGTATGCACAAGCAAGCAATTGCCTGGAAACTAGAGGATATTCAAGGAATAAGCCCCGCTTATTGCACACATAAAATAGCCATTGAGGGCGGATTTAAACCAGTTGTGCAGGCTCAACGCAGGTTGAATCCAAAATTAATGGAGGTAGTGCAGAAGGAAGTGCTTAGACTCTTGGATGATGGAATAATTTATCCTATTTCAGATAGCCAATGGGTGTCACCAATCCACGTCGTTCCAAAAAAGGGAGGGATGACAGTAACCAAAAACGAGAAGGGAGAGTTAGTTCCAGGAAGAACGGTAACTGGATGGCGAATGGTCATAGACTATAGAAAGTTAAATGATGCCACAGGTAAGGATCATTTTCCCCTTCCTTTCATTGACCAACTCATCGAGAAATTAGCTGGCCATGCGTATTATTGCTTCTTGGATGGGATGAGTGGTTACTTCCAAATCCATGTAAACCTTGAAGACCAGGAGAAGACCACTTTCACTTGCCCGTTCGGAACCTTTGCATTCCGTCGAATGTCATTCGGACTTTGTAATGCTCCTGCCACCTTCATGAGGTGTATGATAGCTATTTTCGAAAAGTTTATAGGGGATTTTATGGAAGTCTTTATGGATGATTTCTCTATCACAGGGAAGTCATTTGACGAATGCCTAGGTAATCTGGAAAAAGTCCTCATAAGATGC